TGTGTACTTTGGTTCAGTTACGTATTGCTCTACCATCAATTAATAAATATTTATTCACAATTTATAAAATGTAAATGTTTTATTTTGTAGCACCTTTTTTTTTCAATTTCCGATGTTTTCGGGTAAAATCTCTGATTTTTTATTATTAAGGAAATATTGTTATTGTTAGTGGTTAAGTTCGCTCTTCATATTGTGAATATTAACTCCTTTGTAGTTTCTAAAAATTTCATTTTTTGTAACACCCATATTAGTTTTCCTAACAGCACGTAGAAAATCACTTTTTAGTTGTGAACATCCTGTATATATGTTTTCCTTTGTGTCCATGAAAAGAGAATTTTGCTTTGCTTTGTTGTTTTTAGGATTTTCCAATTTGCACTTTAATTTTCTTTCTGGAACACCCTGTATATTAGTTTCCTGATCGTCAGGTGAAAACGAGCGGCGTTTGTAATCTATTGAGTTTTGTTTGCACTTTAAATTTACCTTGTGTAACACCCTGTATATTTGTTTCGCTTTTCAATCACCTAGAAAATTGACTATTTACTAATTTTATTATTTCGGTAGAACTTTATGAAGTAGTATTTGCTGGCATGTGCGCGGCTATGCAGGTCGTAGTCCCGTTTCAATATGGCAGCATTCTGTTGACTTGTAGAATTTAAACTTGTATTCCATTGTTAATAAATAAATAGTAAAATATATTGACTTCTTTTGATTTGTGTACCCCTTCTATCATTTCAGGAACAGGTCTCTGAGAGTTCCCTCTCTCGGGGATGATCCCACTATAAAAAATTGTTAAGGTATCCTCTATGACTTATGTACTCCTTCTCTCATTTCAGGTACAGGTCAGAACTTGTAGAATATTTTTTAGTGTCGCCTCTCTTGAGGCGACTTAAAACTTTAAATATTTCTACAAGACCTTATAAGGATTGTCCTTATAAAGGAGATCCCCCCTCCTCTGGGGGTGATCCCCCACCATAAAAATTGTTGTTGATATGCCTGATAATTTCGGGGATGAAGCGCAGAGACATCATGTATGTAGGATGGGCCGGGGAGCAATGGATGAATCGAAGCAGTGGGCGATCGACCAGAGCGCCGGGGGCGCTCTGGGAGATCGACCTGCGACTGTCTTATAACGACACGATGCCAAAAATTTAAAAATCCTGATCCTTTTCTGTTCTCTTTCTTCTATCTTTCCTCCCTCTTCTCTACTCTACTCTCTGTTCTCTTCCTTCCGTCTTCTCCTATTCTTTACTACTCCTGGCTCCTATTTCTATTCCAGTTCTCGTTTCTCCACTTACTTTTCTTTCTTACTTCTCGTATTGCCTTCACTTATATTTCAGATTTCTCTCATATCTTGTTACAATTCATATATACAGCCCAAAATTACACCTGATATTTTATATTTGAAAAATGCCTTCTATACCTGAGATTCGATCCGTGCCTGCTAGCATGCCAGCAGGTGCACATCTCCCTCCGTACCGAGTGTTTTATCATTAATATTTGATTCTTCTATTTATGTTTTATTTTATTCAGCTTTTTAAAACAACGCAAACCATAACTATATTTACTCACATAAACTTCATATGAGTGGATTTAAGACGCATATCCTGAAAACGACAAGGATTATCACAAAGAAATATGAATAAGATTTTAGTTTTAAATTGACATTTATTAATTGTATTTAACAATACATTAACAGAGCTAATTAACAATACCATTTTGGCCTATAAATCCCATTAGAATCCGTAGCCCAACGAAGAGATTCGACAGCCGGCGGCTGATGGCTTAAACACGCACCAGGTTGTGTCTTAAGTCTCGAGGCGATTTGAGATAAATCAATTTGTTCAATAGTTGATAGCAATCGATGACTAAACGATTCTAAGGCTCGCACGTAATTAAAGTCCCCGAATTGCAACAGTCGCGATGAAGACCAACGGTGGAATTGCAACACGTGCACACATCACAAATTGCGTAGCACCGACGGACCAAATAGGGAAAACAAAAGCCAATACGCCAACGCTTAGATATTGCCCTCCTATTCTAACTCACCTGCTATCGGCTTTACGAGTATCCTGGTATTTCTATCTCACTCGCTTGAACAAAAATTAATAAAACACAACCCATGTTATATATAATCCATAAACTATTCAAAATGACAAAATGTAAACAAACAGATACAAGTTATCGACATACCAACGTACGAAACATACAATTGATGACGCGTTCATGTGCTAAACCCCGAAAACCAGCAAAAATCAGTGCTTCGAAACACAAAAGTAAATTTTTCTCGCTAATACATTAGTTATTCATAAAAGTTATGTATGAAAATGATAAAGAAATTAAATACTTACAATCTGATGCGAGAATAGTCATTCTGAAATGTCAGACTCAGCTGCAATATCCCTAAAACAAGCAAAAATTAATCCTTCAAACATATAAATGTAATTATGGGGGTCAATTTGTGAGATAATCACAAAAGTTAATTAGGAAAATGGTAGTGAAATTAAATACTTACAATCTGATTCAAGAATGGTCTTTCTACGATGTCAGAGTCAGGTGCAAAATCCCTAAAATATGTTAAAATTAGTCCTTCCAACATTGAACATAACTATGAAAACAATCTATGTATAATTACAATTTACAAGTACTGAACAAAGTTATCATGTCTTCATATAGTATTTACTATCGCTTAACAAATTGTCTATAAATTACCACCTTGGCGGAGCATTTAGAATAATTTCACTGTTTAACTATTTAGCTCAATAACAAGTCTTGTGCTGCCTTTAACAAGCGTAATAAGTTTATAATAAATAATAGTTCTGCGCTGTTTTTTTTGCCAAATTTAACCAATTTGGCTAAATTTGCGTTATTTTTTGGTTCAATTATATTAAAAGCAGAAAGGTTTGAAGGTGTCCATATTTCTTCTTCACCCGGTCTTCAGGGCTCTGTGTATTGCAAAATGTAAGATGTTGATGTTGCGTCCAAATCCATGGAATTCCCCAGTAAAAAGGTAAATCTAAAAATCCGAGTTTTAAAATGCAATTCTTAAATTTCTAGTTTTTTGAGCTTGAGCTTTGAGTTACTACATTAATTTAATAAAAACAAATGTAAAACTTTATATACATATGTTTAATGTATTACCTATATTTTATGTATAATTGTGTCGATTGTATCAACCTACCAAGGCTTAGTTAACACACATGTTGTTTGTAAAGCGTACTTTACACTTTATAAAATACGTTAAAATGTCAGTAAATTTATACTTATTTCCATTTCAGTCACATTTCAGTGTTACTGGGTTATAATTGCAACACTACACCGTGCAAAATAAAAATAAATAAATTATACCTCTTGGCCAGTCAAAATTTGATAGAATCATTGAAATCGTTGAAGATGTTTCTTGCTCTACCGGGAATTACCATTTTCTATTGAATCCTTCTGGAAGAGACATGCAGTTCACACCTGGTCCAAGATATCCGTAAGGTCTCGTTAAAACGTTAAACCTAAAAAGAATCATTTATAAGATAAGATAATTAAATTTGAAAAATAAGAAAAAAAATTAATAACAAAAAATATTGCCGCATCATATTCTTTTAGTAACGAATATCATCTAAACTAAAAGCGCTAGCAACCAAAGGATTAAACGTTATGAAAATTTTGAAAATTCTTTATAAGATAAGACAAAAGCCTAATTAAATTTCAGGGTGTAAAGGTTCAGAAATCACATTCAAATTAATAATTTAATGACTATACAAAACAAAACCACAAAAAAATCATAGCCGACGGGAAATATCTACGTATTTTGCAATTCCGGACGCACTATATTTCAATAACATACGCCGCACTTGTCTGGTAATTCTAAATCTTTTCTTTGCTGACCGTTTCTAATTCAACTACGTACCTAAAATCACAAGAAATGCGATAATGCACCACGCCGCAGCACACGATCGATATGTCCGATATGTCCGCGAATGTTTAATGAATATAAATTCACTTAATTATAATCTGAAGATACAGAATTGATCGCAATGAACACACGCTATTCATCCGATGACTGAAATGGAACAGGATGTGCACGGCACTGCACACAGCCAACGGCAACAACACGCGGTCACTATCAATTTTGCAACAAAAAAATTGTTTACTTACAAATATTTTACGTATCTAAACTATAAATGCATAGCAGCGCCAATTTTAACAATACTAAAGTACTTGGTAAAACTTTTACGGCACAATAAGAGAAAATCTTACAACCACTATTATTCGAAAATAAACAAAATTTGCGACACTTCTCGGCACTCGTGGTTAATGGAATGTAATCCATTTGATTAATTAACTCTTCTTCAATGATTAAAAAAACTTAAAATCGAGCCATGGAAACACGAAATAGAAACCGTTTTCTGCAATTTTGCAATTTCATGACACTTTTCAACCCTAGAATGCAACAAAATATAGTCAATTCAATTAACAATTCTTTTTCTATAATTCGAAGGAAACAATTAAAATCTAGGCAAGAAAACGGTAGGTGCAAACAGTTTTCCAGCACAAATTAATGAGCGAGCGCCATCTAGTTGTGATAGTCCGAAATGCTTAATAACGAGAATATTAAGGAGCGATACTAGCGCCACCTAGTGCCGCATGTCTCAACAACCTAGTTATCTTTAAAGCAGGAAATTGTAATGCAGCTATCAAAATACGGAAACACCAATTGTGAACTAGTTCCTAGTTACAACCGCGGCAATTCTTCTAACTACAGCCGCAAAATAACAATACACAAGAGACATATTCACACATATTATTTATGAATATGATTCAGACTTTCAATACTCACAATATGATGTACCAGTATGTACTACCGTGGTGTGAAGTAACGTTTAATTGCTAGGTCCCTAAAACAATCAAAAATTAATTCACGATTGTGCAAAAATTGTATCTTTTTGTTAATAAGAAATATTAATAATATATTTAAATTCACGAAATTCAGAAACTCTATCCATGCTGTCCATTTTAGATTAATATTTGGCGAGTTATTTATAGGTATATTTGTCACAACAGAATTTCCAATTGCTCACCGTTGCCTTATTTTATCACCAAATTCGAAAAAAATACAGTACTCAAAAAGTAACCTTATCACATGAGTTACTAAGCTAATTAATTCCAATTAGATATATATATTGCGCCGTCAAACTCAAAACATTTCAGTTGTGTCTGACGATTTGAACCAAACAATACTAGAATCATGAGGGCAAATATTTTGTTCACTGTAACCTTGTGCATAGCAGTAAGTTAAAAATTTACAACTAATACCAATTTTGAACTATAATTATGTTACTTCTACATAGAGCTCGATTGCGTTGCCCACTTCAAATGTGAAGCCAATTAGAAACTTTGGCAACTGCTTCGTAATTTTGGCAAACTCTATTGCTGAAGAGTTCGAGATCAATAAAAAAATTGTTGAAGAATGTGCAACAGAAAACTGCCTGGAACAGATCAAAGTTATCGAACGAGAAACGAGAGGCTTAATATCTACGTACTTATATGGTATATCATTGCATACTGATTGCCTCCCAGGATGCAACGGAAATAAAGAATGCGAAGAGAGCTGTGTTGCCACCTATGACAATCTACTGCAAGGATGTGTGATAAACCTCAACGTAATGATCAACACGAATCTCGGTAAAATGCTGGACACATGTCCTAAAGTAAGCGAATGCGCTCGTTCCGCTTACGATATATTTGTCAATAAGAAGATAATTGCTGCACGTAGAGAATTTGTCAGTTGTTTATCAGTTTAATTTGTTTCTTTTTTTGATTAAAAAATCAATAAATATATGGAAATAAATAATACTATATGAACCTTAATACAAGTAAAAGAAGTCTTGACCGACATCCTTTCAGGATTTTAGACAAAATAGAAATAAATAAAATAAGGAAATGTAAGTAAATAGGGAATTTATATGCACACCTATAAATATTCCTAATCCTCGAAAATGTCGAATCGGAAACGACTAGACTTCGACGACTCGGCCAAATTCTAGAATACAAAAACACATATTAAGCACAAACTTAACAGAAATGTTGTTACAGTAATAGATATTCATTCATATACCTACTTTTTGATGCAAACACTGCCGACTTCATTACATTCTGTTTTGTATAAGCAAAATTATTTTATTTCAGCCTATAGTGATAAGTGTACTTTACAAATATAATATTGGAATGCATAATTAATATTATTCCTAAGTAGTAGCAAACAAATATAAAAGTGCCTTTCCAAACTGAAATATCTCAGACCCACCCAATTTGGATTCACCATAAACTCTATCAACAAATGTGATTGGGACTTCCCCAATAGTGTAATTAAGCTGTCTGGCGCGAATAATCATCTCCATTTGAAAAACGTAACCTGTGGATACACAATTATCAATTAACTTTTGAAAAACATCTTTTTTGTACAAACGAAATGAACGTGTCAGGTCACTGGCACCTGGTCTCAAAAATAATTGAGTGAGGAAGTTAGCACCTCTGGATACTAACTTCCTCTTAAAGTCCCAACCATAAACACCACCATCTCGTCCATCTCCCACATATCTTGTTCCAGAAACAAGATCATAGTTGTTTTTTTGTTGTAATTCTATAAATTGTGGAATAGCTTTGGGCTGAAATTTCAAATGGTGTTTTTGTTTTGTTGGACATATAAATTTAAATTGTCTTAAAATTTAAATGTAGCGTTGATCGTCTTACGGCGACATACGTAAAAGTACTGCCGGTACAGCTGTACAAGAATACGTGACCAACAGTCAATGAGCGTGTAGGGAGGGACCGTCGCCGTAAGACGATCGGCGCTAAATTTAAATTTTAAGAAAATCAACTTTGGGGTGAATTTCTCCAGTAACAACCCCTTTAAAACAGTCTGCCTCGAATTATTTCATTTTTAAAATATTCTAAACTTTCAATTTTTGTTTGTTGGCCTCTGAATCAAACACTTTTTTTGGGTATAATTTTTTTACACATGTTAGCTATGCCCAGTACCTGGTGTCCCAGGTAGGGCCAGGCAAACACAGGTAAATCTACCACTCAATTGGATATAAATAAAATATAAAAATTTCATGATGCATCAAACACGTCATGAAATGGGTGTTACTAGCTCTTGGACTATGTGGACGTTCTCTCTTATTCGAATGAACAACATACGAAGGTAGCGATAGAAGTGACTTTTATTCAGGGCACTGTAGGAGGGTAGCGATAGAAGTGATTTTTATTCGGGGCACCGTACGAGGGTAGCGGTAGAAGTGACTTTTATTCAGGGTACTGTACGAGGGTAGCGGTAGAAGTGACTTTATTCAGGGCACCGTACGAGGGTAGTGGTACAAGTGACTTTATTCAGGGCACCGTACAAGGGTAGCGGTAGAAGTGACTCTCATTCAGGGCACTTATCACTGTAGCCTCTTTTTGCTTGGTTGAAAACTGAGATAGAGATGGCTGTATCTGGCACTTAAACTAAAGTTGTAAATGTGAAAATATTCCAATTCAATTTGTTCAAATTATTTTTAATTTTCTCTTAGTTCATCAAACAAAAATCATTATTAATAAATTTATTTAGTTCTAAGTAATTTTTACAATAGACAACTACCATCCTTGCCCCCATTTTATATCATTGAATGTCCAATGTTATTGTAAGCATAGAAACATGTGAATCTAGAAAGCGTCAATGCGCGGTGATTCGGCGTAATGCTCTTTGCGTTCTCCCTTGAAGTACTGCTTATGTCTTTCCATTCTCATAGCCATTGCACGATCTCTTTGCTTGGTCCTGCTCTGACATTCTTTGAAATCCTGGATCAAAGTATCACATTCCCTCATGCCTTTATCAAGACCATAGGCCTCAAAACACTCCATCACCTTCAGTTCAAAATCGGCACAACGACCGTACCACTGGTGGCTGACCAATTGGGCAGTGAGGTCGGAAAAGGGTGAACGAAACCACGGGCATACAGACATTTTATCTAAAAAATAAATTGAATTTCTTGATTTTTAGGGGTTAGGCTTGTGACATAACAAGTCACAACAATTTAAAGTTTAATGCAAAATTGCATATTTCAGTATTACTTCCCGCCAAAATGTACGATATGCAGCCCTTTTAAGGTCCAATAAGTTTAATTTGTAATAATACGCACCTAATAATCTTAAATTTGAGCTGTTTATGAGGAATTTTCAGGCCAATGTTTACGACGTATCGATTGATGTCGTTCGTGTATGTATGGTTGCCAACGATACATATGAAAGTTGTACTGATTTAAATGTATAAAGTTTGCCATGGAATAAAAACAAAATTATAGATATTAATAAAATAAACGTCAAATTTTCTATGAAGCAATAGTAAATTTTAGTAAATTGCTCCCAAAAATGGAGCACATCGAGGACGACCAGCAAAAGGTGAAGAGGCCAAGCACACCAGATGAACCTAATGAAAACGCTCCTTTCGGTCATCAAGGATACGAAGAGTCTGAAAACCCGATCGGCGAAGGCCCACAAATCGAAGAGGAAACCCTTCAAGCACAGGATGAAGATGAACCATACGAGGGGAGGTTCCTGGGCGCCGAAGGTATCTTGATGGACGATATCATCCTTGATGATGAACCCATCGATCAAGACGAGGATGAATTACCAACACCAGGGATGTCACTACCCTGCGAAAGCAAAGTTGACGGAAATCTCTTCGTTCAACGACTGCGGAATTTTGTCCAGAATCCAAACATCTGGCGCATTATAAAAGGCCTCCTTGTGGTCGTTATCGCGATTAAACTGTTCAATTCATACGAAATAATTGAACCGTATGTTCCTAAGATATTTGGATCAAAACTAGAATAGGGAGCAGGGAAATCTATTTAGGAAAATGAATGTATTTGTTTTTAATTGAACAATGACAAATAAAATGTTCTTTTTGATCTGACAAATGAATATTTATAAATTAAACTAAAATTAATTTGTAGCAGCAAGTTTTGTTACCTCTTTTGTTTCTTCTGAACTATCTTCTGACTCTGAAGCTGAGTTATCATCACTACTTGAAATATCTATGTCATCATCCAGCCTAAAGTTAAAAAGTAAAATTATTATAGAATTATTTATTTTTCTTAAAGGTTGTATTTTAATTACCACATGGCACCTTTCCTCTTCTTTTTCTTTACTTCATCAACTTTAGTATCAGATTTTCTTTTACTTGTAGTTGAAGCACTTGCAGAAGCTGCAGCTTCCATTCCTTGAGTAACAGCATCTTCTAATCTTTCAGGTAATTCAGACCTCTCTTTGTCATAAGTATCATCTTTAAATTCAACCTTTGGTTTTTGAACCAACCTCTCCAATTTTTTCTGCTTTTTATCTTCTGCCTCTTGCTCCCTAGTTGCCTGTTTATCAATCCATGCTTTTAAGCTAAAGATGAATTCTTTTAGATTTATTTTAAACAATAATTCATACTAGAATTAATTACCGTTTTTCTTCATTAATATCTCTAAGTCTTCTTCCACTTAAATCTCTGCAGGCTTCCCTATTTGTAGTTTTCTCAATTTGTGCACCAATTGCTCTTAGCATTGAACCAAAACCACCTTTCCCACCCACAAGTTTTGGCACCACATGCACAATTCCATCAGGAACACCATCATCATTAAAATGTTTACCATTATGTATCAAATAAAAATCTTCATGTTGAATCTAATCAAGTAAATACAATGTTAGGGCAGATACAAAATTGTTTTTGGTACTTACTTTGTTGGTGATATTTGTCTTTACTTCTACTATAGACAATACATTTTCTAGGAATAAAATTGTCTTATTATTGTATTTAATTTCCAACATTTTTAAGCAATTCTCAATAAACTATGAAGAAAACAGCAGTTAATTATGGTCAAACGCAGTTTTAGGTTGTGTTATGTTGTGTAATTCTAAAAATCTGCGTCAAGCGTCGCTGTGATCGCAGTCCGTGTTCGATTCATCGAACCCGTGTGCAATTGGAGATTACATACATCGTGATTTTATTGCACTTGGCAAGTGCAACAATTATACTGCACACATTGTTTATCAACACTATAATGGCCACCAACACCCGTCAGGTTTTGAGTCTTTACAAAGCAATGCTACGAGAATCACAGAAATTTTCATCATATAATTTCCGGTGAGCGAAAATTGTAACCTTACATTTCTTGGGTTCAAAAATTATTCCAACTTCTTCTAAACTTTTAATTAAATACACAATAAATATTGCCCAACTAACTTTTCAAGATTTCCATCAATTTAACAAGTTGTTTTTTCTTCCAGTAATTATGCCCTTAGGAAAATTCAAGACTCATTTAGAATTAACAAAGAAATACAAGATCCAAAAATAATTGCAGAGAAAATAAAAGAAGCAAAACACAACCTGGAGATTATCAAAAGACAAGTAATATTGATATATAACAATTATAATTTAATACTAAATGTAAATAAAATGTTTCAGGTCATTGTTGGACAAATGTATGCAACTGATAAGCTAGTCATTGAACACACAAACAGATAAGGTTTTAAGAAAATACAAATTGTTAATATCAACTCCAATATAATAGTTTACGATTTGTTAATTATCGCGCTGGATTCTCGTTGTTTTCTTTCAAGAACCGCGTTGAATGAACTTACTTTCTAAGCACTTCTATGTTTCTCACAATCCCCTTGCCATAGATATAGAAATCTTCCTCACTGATGTCAGACTCCAATTTATTTTGCGCCGAGAGTTTCCGACCATGTGCCGTAGAAATCTGAGTTTAAAATATGTATTTTTGTAAATATAGTGGTTTGTAAGTTAAAATTTCTAATGTATCACCTTAAAATCCTGTTGTTTTTGAATTGTTTGCTTCCACAGGACACCGATTACGACTCCACCATAGAAATCGCGAAAGAATAATGCATATTCTCCAAAATTCTCCTGGAAAAAAACTCGTTTTAAAAATGATTGGGGTATTTTAATCCGTCTATACTTTACCCGTAATTCCTTTAGGTACAATTCAATAGGATCGAAACCCACAACCGGCATACATTTCGTAATAGATTCGTCGAACTCTTCTAACTTCACGACAAAATTTTGATCTCTGTTGACTTGTTGATAGCGTCGCAGGTTTGTCGAGGCATTCAAGTAAATTAAAACATCATAACCAGTCAAATTTGGGACAAAACACGCCTGCGAAATCATTTTTTAAAATTTATGTTTTACAAGGTATAAAAACGTACCTTATATGAAAGTTGGCAATCCTCTGCCAAATTATCGATCAGCAATTTGTAACTTTCGGCAGCCAAGCACTTTATCCTTCTCAGAACCACAGCCGACGGTCCACATTTCGTAAATAAGGATTTACCCTCGTCAAACGGTGTAGTTATGTGTAAAGGGTTGTAACTTTGACGATCTTGTAAAAACTTACTATCGATCTCATTCAGCTCTTCAATACTCAAAGAATCATTGAAATTCACGGCGACAGTTTGAAAGTTGTGATCAAATGTAGACATAAACTTTAGGAATCTTAAAAACGCTACCTGAGGCAATATCGCAGGCTTGTAAGGCGCTGAAGTGATAAACAAGGACGCGTTTAAAAGATTAATAACAACATCACTGATATGATCGGCGTCTAACATTTGCGAACGCATCCATCGCTTGATAAGACACGTCGACGGTCCATAACTTGGATTTGCTTGATGCAGACCGTTGAGAGCACCGGAAATTTTCGGTAAGATCTCTAGATTTCGTTCAAGGCGTAAACTTTCGTCAGTGTCTTTATAGAATGTTAAACCGTCAGCGGTTACATCTTTCTTCAGCAGTGCAATTTCTTTCGGATGATGCAAACGCAGGCGGAAAACATATCCTTGATAAAATAGATCTATGTGGTCGTCGCGGACAGAGGTGATGACGTCGTGCTCAAGGCGGAGAAGTTTGGAAATTTCAAAGTAATAAATGGTTTTCATTGCTCGCATAGCTTCCAGGGTTTTCGGCCATTTTGAATTTAGAGCTAAGAATACATAAGCAGTTAAATAAACCATTATAAATCATAAAACAAAAACTTACCAAGCTGTAATACACATTCAATTGGCTCAAACAAATGCGGTAATTTGTTTGGCTTGTCATTTATTACAACAAAGTCACCGCGTTCGCTACAATTTGTTTTCTTCAAATTGTAGTTAGTAGGAATGGGTGGAAACAACTCGGTGTAACTATAAAGAAAATATTTATAGTATAGAATATGTTAAATAAAATTAAAATAGACGTATTTTTATACCTGTATAAGTCAGATGTGCATTGGCACGCTGTTATAGGAAGTGGTAGCTGTAAATTTCGTAAAATTTTATCCAAAGAAGTCTGCACACCTTTAATTCTTATTATAGCTTCCTCGTTTGAACCAGTAGGAAATGGATTTTCAATGTGTTCGAGCTTCAATTGTTTTTCCATTTCAACACCATTCAACTCGTAATTCAACTCTAATTTGTTTCGCATCACGAATTCAATGATTTTCGCGAATATTAAACGTTTATCTTGAATTGTTTTCACATCATCAAAATAAACTGCTTCATAAATTGAAGAATCTTTAAATCTGTAAATAAATATCAAAATTAAATATTAATTGTTAATTAATATTAATAAATATTACCTTCGAAGATCTGCTAAATTGCCCCAAAAATCTTTGAACTTCTCCGCACCTTCTTCATATTGTCGTGGCCCTTTCTCAATAACATTATAACAATGTTCCGGATTTACATTTAAGCCATACGTGATTACGTTTGGATTTTCAGTAAAAATTGGTACTAATTCGTGAATTCTCTTGGTTAAACCATATTTCAACTGATTTTCAATGCAGTTTTGGATTAAACTCTTATAAAAACCAAAGAATTTGAATTTCTCTTCATTGCTACTATTCCAGTAGATCTTTTTAAATTGATTTATATCAATTATTCTATAAAATTGTAATCAAATTAAGTACTGCAGGTAATTAATAACATAAACTTACTTAAGAATTGCATCGTACTGTAAACCAACAGGCATTTTGGTCGTGAACAAGTGCGAGAAAGAATTAAACCGATTGCTATCCAAGCTCTCTATCGCCTTTTTAGCTTCGGCCTTGACTTTCATGTAAACATTTCCATCTAAAAACGCGCCTACGTTAAAACAACCAGTGCTATCTAGCAAAACAAATTCGCCCTCGAACAAAAGCAAATTATTCGGTTTAACATCTACAGCAATCGACAACTTTTCATCATCTTTCAAATTTGCAATAAACGACCAGAAAATTCGTACAACTTGATACGAACTCATCAGCTTATTCACTTTCTTCTTTGAAAACAAATACGCAAGTACATATACAACTAAATCATCAGTGAAACAACGATAATCACTGTTCAAATCTCTTTGCCTCAGCCAAATTACAATCAACTTAATCGCGTCTGTAATATTTTCGTGGGAATTTAAACATTTGATAAACGATTCATTCGTTTCTAATGTACAATCAAATAACATAATAGAATTATAAAAGAAAGTTCCCACTTCAGAAAAACTTTCTATTTCAAAGTCTGGAAAATCATCATACGATAATTGTTTCAAATTATTTTTGTTTGGCATGAACCTTATTGGTTTGAATGTATCAATTTCAGGCACAATGAAAATATTAATCAACATTTGATCACACTCTGCAGGCACAACTTCCAAATATGGCAAATGATTGTTATGTAAATAGTTTGCAACTTTAATCTGTTTAATGCAATCAAAGTTCTTGATGTAATTTTCAATGTAAGCCATATAAAATTGTTTCTTTAGTGCATACTTGTTATTAAGATAATCTTTTTCAAAGAACATAGATTTGTTCATGGTAATCATTAAATTGGCAATAAATTTAGCCTTTTCACTTGGAATATTTTTGAGTGAACCATGCAAAACAATACTTTTGGGCTTCATAAATTTCATACTAACATCCTGACTACATGGAACTTTGTCCAAACTAGCTGCATAATTAATAAACTTCTGTTTTTCATCAAGTTTCTTTTTCTTTGATATTTGCAAATTATTCAAGTTAATTTCAGTAAATTCAGGAATGTTTAGTAACTTTTTCTGAAACTCTGTGAACCAAAGATCAAATTGTGTTTGATATTTTGGTTTCAATTTAATTTCCTCTAATAATTCGTTTATTTGAAGTCTAAATATATTTGAGTTGAATAAGTTTTCAGTCTCGCGCAACTTGTTCATTTCCTCAGCTGTTGGTTGTTTGTACAGCTCACTCTTTGATTTTTTGATTGTTTTTGAATCATTGTCTCCATCGTGAGGCCTTTTATTGTGGATAATTTCTGGCTCCGAATCAGAATCTTCGGATGAATTTTCCGAATCTTGGTTGAATTCATAATCCTTAAATATGCAGGTTATAAATATAAATGGTTTAATATGGTTTTAAAAATATAACTTGATTTACCTCGGGTTTAAATTCAACCATTTTTACACGTTGTTTCAAGACTTGTTATCACTTTAATTAAACAATTTGGATTTCAAAACCGATGCCAACCAAACATTACAAACACGTGTTTTCTTTTAAGATTTTGTCAACACATGTTGCAGTTGTATGCAACGCTCGAAAGGTGGCGCAGACATCGCGCACTACAATATTCCTTTTTAAACTCAGAATTTCAGAATTGATATAATCACAAGTCTCAAAATCAAACTACTCTTTATTGAGTTATAAATTTGTAACGAAATGTGTAAATATTTTGAAAGAAATGCTTTTTTCTAAGCCCCCCTTCTCTTTCTGAAAACGTTCCCAGGCTTGTGATGTTCAATATCAGCCTGAATTTCTTCAAAAGTTTTTTGATTTGTCTCCACAACCACCAGAAGCAAATAAAATATTCCCAAAAAGCAAATCGTTCCAAAACCATAGAAAATGTATGCCGGATTTATACTAGCCATCATAACTGGCATGACCCAAGAGGTGCCAAACGCTAACATCCAGTTAACAAACGCAATAATCGTACTCATCACAGTTTTCACACTGCTGGGCAGATACTCTCCAAACATAAGCCACGGCAATGGTCCGGCTCCCAGCGAAAAGCCCATAATATACACCACAAGAGCAATCGTTGGGATCATGGCTAAAGTTTCCTGTGTTTCTTTGTCCACCATAAAATAAAACCCGGTCAGCACAAGACAAAGGCACATTATACCCACGGAAATGGCGAATAGCATTATCCTTCCGGCACGATCGACACAAGCAGCAGCGACTAGGCAAAGCAATACTTGGGCTATTCCAACAATGATAACCGAAAGATCTTCACTGATGTTAGTGTTTGAAGCGCTAAAGATTGCATGCGCATGGTACAAAATTGCGTTGATTCCACTTAATTGTTGTAACATGTGTAATCCTAGCAAAACCCCGAACGCTTTTAAATTAACAGGTTGTTTAAAACCTTCTTTCACAGATTCTTTTGATTCAATGGCCGCCTGCATTTCAGCCTGTTCTTTGCTGTAATCAAATTCCTTGCCACGCAGTTTCTTCATCACTTTCTCATACTTCTCAAGTTTGTTACGCTTCAACAAAGCGTAAGGTGATTCTGGTATGAATAAAATCATCAAAATAATTGCTAAAACGCACCCTGCCCCGCACGTGACATTTAGAATGATCATGTTCTTGGCAATACCCGCAATGTACGCAACTAAAATTCCAAGTGTAATGAACAACTGAAAAAAGACACCGATAGTTCCTCGATGACTCTTGTGTGTTGATTCACCAAGATACATGGGGCACGCAACACAGAAAGCGCCTGCAATTCCACAAACCAAGCGCCCCGTGATCTGCACCCAGAAATTCATACTCAGCGTCAAGGGAATCCATCCGCAGATGAGTATGACATGTGTCACAACGATGCACCATTTCAGACCTAAACATTTAACGAGTACCACAACGAGAAGTTGCGAGAGCGCTGCACCAAGCGCAAAAAGACTGGAAATCCAGGCAAATTCTCCATCCGTAATTCCGCCCTCTTTTTTTAAAATGCCATTAGCCGGCGAAGACCAACCGATTGCTGTTCCTGCCACAAAACCGCCGAGGCAAACTAGAAATTCAAAAAAGTATTCATAAACTGTATGAAAACTGTAATTACATTTATTAATTACTTATAACTCCAACGATGTATTGAAAGAAAATTTTCAGGTTTTTAGTTTCTTCTTTAGCCTTCGCCTTCGCTTCTGCTTTTTCCCTTTTCTTGGCTTCCTTGGCGTCCGCCATTATTGTAAAAATATGAAAAAAATAAAAATCAAAAATATATAATTCGTCTAACTGCAACGCTTGTTACATTTGAATTGAATTACGTCAATTGTTTTTAAATCCTTAGATACACAAATCTCGTTACCTACTTTGTTTAACAGAAAATAAATAAAACTTTCGGCTGGCTAAAAAGTTTATAATAAAAGTTTACCTTTTTAAATTAAGGTGCTTCCGGGGACAAATGAAAGAATTCTCCTCGTCACCTTGCGCCATTGAAATTCGATAACCTATATAATAAATTATTTATTATAACTGCATATAATAATCATATCAGTACCAAACGATTCAATCATAAACCAAACAATAGTAATAATAGTAATTTTAATGGAAAGAACATAAATCATCGGGCCGTTAAATATATCGGCGCAAACCCTCGCCACGAGACATTACCGTCGATTGGTTTCGCACTGCAAAATTGTTCGCTTGGGAAATGACCGGAAATCATAAGAATCTTGTACAAATTTTAAAAACAAATAGCACCGCCGATTTCAATTACGACGCGGGCGCCTGTTGTTGGTCTTGTGGTTCTTCAAACTTTTGCAAACGGCGCCGCCGTAGCATGGACTCAGCAGTTGCATTCTCATCATCTGCAGCTGGCGCGCTTGAACTGGTCGACGGCATCGCGCCGAGCTTGTCTACATCATTTTTGTCACTCGCAGGTGGAAAACTGTTAGTTGTTGTACTGCCACTGGCAGTGCCAGCTTCGCTGGTGCTGGTGTTGGTATTGTTGGAATCACCGGCAGCCCCCGCCGCGTTTTCAGTCGTCGACGCCGGTGAATTATCGGCGGTCGCATTTGGCATCGATAGGGAAATGGCTGCGGCTGTATTGTACTGTTGCATCATTAATACAGCAGCATCCAACATAAGCTAGAATCAAATTATTTTTATTAAGAATCTGAATGTTAAGTTGCTGATTGTGAATAACGGAAGTACCTGAACATTTCTCAACCATTGAATTCTCGCCTCAACATGTTCCCTCTCGTTACCCTCCATACGCCGCAATTGCTCCAATGAAATCGAAAACAAATTCGGCGGCGGCATCGGCGGTGGCGTCATGAAACCCATCGGCGGGAAGGGGAAGAAAGGTGGAATGTTCGGTGCGCCATCAGCACCAGTCTGTGCCGCACCACCATTGGGTGGCATAAAAGGCGGGACATTTGGCATCCTCGGCGCATGTGGCTGCTGCGCTTGTCCAGGTTGTGGTACATTACCAGCAACACCAGCTTGAGGACCTCCTTGCGCCTGCCCATTTAAGACATTCCTCAAATTATTGTTGAGCATCATGAAGGGATTGGGCATATTAAACGCCACATTAGGCATGTTAGGTGGCTGCGGCATTTGTGGCCTCGCTTGTCTATTTTCCGCAGCTGCGGGTGTGGGAGTAGGAGCAGGCGTCCGCAGAATATTCAACCTGCATGTGGGACATGTCTGCTGGCGCTGGAACCACGAGCGCAGGCACGCCGCATGAAATATATGATTGCATGGTAGTTTTTTCGCAGCGGTGGTCATTTCCTCGCGACAAATAATACAGACATTGTCGCCTGCGGTGAGTTCTTCAAGCGTCGCATCTGGGTACAACGTGTTCATGTTGTGAATAGCGCGACGTGATAGTATCACGTCATTGAATGCTTTTTTAAAGTTTCGCAGCGTGTAATACATAGGTCGCAGCGCAAATAGAGGCAGCGTGTAGATGCGTATCATGATAATAACGAATGCAGCGTACAGAATCACCTTGATTAGACCCATAATCAATTCGGTGTAAAGCAGAAATACTGCTTTGTTGTCCCAGGGAGTTTCACTATTCAAATCGAACGAGTATAGTGAGTATTTGATGGAGATGTTAATCGCCATCGTGATGAGAATCGCGTACTCAAAACCGAAGACTAGTTGAACAGATGCGCCTTTTGAAACTGTTGACTGATATGCATGTCCAACAAAATACACATCAAGCATGCCCAACACCAGCAAGAGACCTAAAACTCTAATGTGGAAAAGCATACTTATGATTGGACTTCTTTCCATCTGAAAGTAAAATAATTAATGTTAATTTGTCTCAGGTTTAAAACAAATTGTTTAACTTACAAAGTCAACTCTATCTTCAGCCAACCAATGGAACGATTTCAAAAACAAAAGTAACGTAAATAACGCGACGAATTTTGGATTGAAGTCATCCCTAAACACTGTGAATGCCAGACATGTCTCAGTAATAGCATACCATGACCTCTCCATCAAGTGCTCAAACTCCGACGTCCGTAACTCGCCGAAAAATACCTTTCGCATAATTTTGCCCATCAAGAATACACATATGAATGCTTGAATGTAAATAACCTAGAATACATTAACATTTAGTACTTGCAAACAATCATATTAATTTTAAAATGATACTCACAGCCATGCTAGGATTAGATTTAGTTATGTACACCACTGAGGGATAGAATTGTTTCTTTTGATAGTAAGCATTCGCCACCACCAAGGTGGTAAGCGCAACGCTTATCACCGATATGCCGAGAGATCGCATCTCGCTGTGTGTTTGTTGTGGTCCTATATCCTACGTATTTGGGCTCGATGACGAGTGAGTTGGGCACTAATTACCAGCATACACAGCACATTTTCTCGCTCGACACAACCGCTATTATTAATTCATTACGATATCGGCAATCGGAGTGTTTCTTGTTCGTGGCGCGAGATATATCGACTGTATTAATCCACGATTCATATGTTTTTGACGAGTCGAGTGCGTTGGTGGAGTTGGAGACTGACAGTTGTTGTAGCTCTGGCTGTGGCAGTTGTGGGAGTTGTGGCTCGTTTTGGTTGGTGACGGTTGGCGACAGCACTGTTTGCATCGGTTTTGCGCAAGTGTACGTGCGATTTCTGATTGCGAAAATAGAAATGTACTACATTTCAAAGTTGGTATCAATTAGAAAACACATTTTATTAGTAATTATGGTTTAAAAATAAACGAAACCGTTTAAAAACTGTACCTTTACGAGCAGTTTCTTTAAGTTGAGTCAATTTTCAACTTGAATGTGTTGTAGATAAGGCAAAAAATTAACGTGGAACAATGTCATTGGCCGCGTTAATAACACGATAATAAATTTAATAAAGTGCATGTAGGTATATTACTTACTTTAATTTAACTTGACAACACGTTCAAATGTAAGCTTTTCAAATAAACGTAGACCGGCAGTTTCAAAATGATTACTATATAAAATATAAATGTTGTAAAAATCGTTAAAAACAATTTCGCAGGTATGCAATTCATAGCTAAATAAAAGTGCACATATTCCACATGAGTCACAAATATTTAAATTAAATATTTGTGTAATTTGTAACAGAATTGTGCAAAAATTGACAAAACTAGAATAAAATACACTCTCCATTTTATTATAAGAGTCAATAGAAAATATAAGTCACATTTTAAAATCAGAAAACACAAGACATCCATCAAAAGGCACATAATAGATTCACGAATAATATCATCAGATCATTTTCGAAATTAATTTTCTTGTATGTACAACATATCTATAAAAAATACTTACTCCAACATAAGTCGCGACACTTTCATAGGTGTCTGTCTAATTTCTACTGTCGACATCGGCGTCTTACACAACTTACGGGGCGATTTCAAATGCAAACTTCTCTTTATATGAGGCATCGGTTTTGGTGTAGTCTCTATATCTCGATTTGCTTCACGCAAAATAGAGTTTCGTTCTGCTTCACGAGATGATGACTTTGGCAAGCGATGAATTCCCGGACTTTTGCATGGTCTTTTCCTTGGTGACATACTCTTCTTACGCCGTTCCTCCATTTTCAACGTCCTTATTCGATTTAATTGTGTTCTCGGTGCGCCAATTTTTGCTGTGCGTGGTTGGGAAATGTAATTTTCTTGTGATTCAGTCGAATCGCCTAAATTATCAAAAAGCCTGGCTTTCGCCATAACCATCCCGGCATTTTGACTTCTCAAACGTGCAAGGGATGCACGACAATTGTTATCTAACACTGGATGTGGTACATCTGGAGTGCTGAAGAAACCTTGCGCGCTCTTCCAGCTAGATCCCGAAGAATCAGTCACAATCGAACTACCTAACGACATTTCTGATCTTGTAGACATAGAGCTATTAGTGCTCCGGGGAGGCGCAGGTGATGGCATAAGAATATTCTCATTATTCGAACAATTTTGTGATTCTGAACGTTGAGTTGTTTTAGCGCGCCTCATGCTGCTGCGGGAGTTTTTGGGTGATGTTGCAGTCGTAGCACACCAAGTTTGCGTCCGACTGAGGCGTACTTTTTGGCCCTCTTTGCGGCGGAGACTGCCGATTTTTCTAGCGCTTGGTGAGCGAAAAACTGGACGACTTTCACCCGAACGTCGTATCTTCAATTCTCTGCTGAGCCGTTTTGCCAGTTGATCTGTGGTTGAACACATCGGTTCAGCCTGAACTAATGTTTCAACATACTTTTTGTTCACTTCCTGCACAGCAGACTCGGAAGAAGGAATAGGATCGACATCAAGGGACCTGGGAACACTTTCAAGTTCAATAGAAATTCGACGTTCAATTGCCGAAACGCGATTTTTTATATCTTCGTATTCAGCCTTCGGAACGCGCATATAATCAGATTCTACTGGTTCGGATCGTTGAAATTCCAACTCTTCAGTCAAGTCGTTGATTTCATTATCAATGTGAGCGTCGTCATGTAAAATTTTCGGTTTGTCGGCTGTCATTGTTCCAATGCAAGAATTTCGGGTTTTCTTCTTTTTGAAGCCAGCGACCGAACTCATCGCAGACCAGCGTCTTTGTATTGAACTTGTGCTCGAACTCGATGTTACATCAGACTTTTTATTTTTGGTTTTGTTTGTAGACCACAAAATTCGTTTTTCTTTTGCACTATAACTATTCAAGAATTTATAATTATTATTCATATAACAAAATTATAAGTAAATATACCTTTCGATTTTAGTTGTTTTTGAATTATCTGTTTTTTTCTTTCCACTGCAAAATAAATGGTTCTCTTGAAATTTCCCAGCTTCACAATAAACTTGAATTTAACTTACTTTGGATGATTATTCACCGGTGTACTTGAAGGCGTAAAAGGTACATTTAGAAGAGTACTCTGTGGCAATTTGTCTCGAACTTCCTGTCGTCTCTTGGCCGATATTCCTACAGCTTCCATTTTCCTCTTTTTTGCTGAACGCGTTAAACAGGGCGTCATTAAGAGATCGGGTGCGGCTTGTATTGGTGGTGGGTCCTCGTTTTTATTATGGGTTACAATTCTTTTCAACCCGCCAAAAATTCGTGTGAGACTTCCGCTTCGACGCTTCTTCTTTTTCTTCACGCTCGATGTTTCTTCGTCCACCATTGATACGTTACTGCTTTGTGCAATTCGTTCAATTATACTATCGTTCAACACGCCAATGCTTGATGCGTGTTCAATTAACAACTAAAAACAAAAAAATCATTGCAATTAAATAGATTTATGAAAGAATTTGTTTTTCTACACACCTTAAAAAGTTCACAAGTTTTATTCATTCTCAAGGTAGCATTATTAGGTATTTTCTCTTCAGCTGGGAATAGTGTAGGCCCAATAACAACAGCCAAGTTATAAGCATCCATTCTATTGAATTCATGATATTCAGCAACTCTATACAAAAATTGCATAAAGTATGCTAGAGTGTTTAGATGCACAGTTGGCAGTAACAAACAGGCAAGCAAAATTGCATCCACCTGTTTTCTATCCATCAAAACACATCTCAGGAATAATTCATGAAATGAATATGGAAGCAGAGGTTCTGGCAGTTCTCTGAAAAATGTCTTCAGTACACTTGCAACATCAATCACATGATGTTCCTCACTAAGATAGCAACCAGCATCTAATGATAACTAAAACATGTATGACAATTAAACTTAATACACAAAACAATCAAATGCTATTACTTTTATCTCATTCTGTCGATTTTAGAGCCACCTTTCCTAAATAATCCTTCAGTGTCAATTTGCATCACAATAAATGAACACAATTCATGCACAATTTTAGGCACAAGAAGTTGTTGACCACTGGGCAGGGTCACAGTCTCAACAGGAAGTAAATTCAAGGCTCTCTTAAATACTTTCCTACTTTTTGCTTCCTGAAAGTTTCATTGATAAAATCAGTAATGCATGCGAATAAATGATTTATCACATTCTAACCTCAGTGTGTTGGCGGCTTTTTTTCGGTCTGTATTTAATGCCGAGCGTCTTGAGATCGCCCACGGCAAGGCATTGTATTTCTTCTTTCTTGAGAACATCGTTGATGAACATCTTGACCCGCGGTTGATATAATGCGATTGTATAATTTTTATTTAAATCAAACCGTCATTTTAATCGAGCGGCGCAATCGGCACAACAGTCAACTCCGTATGTTTGAAAACACATGAGAAGCGCGCAACTAGCGCTACTGCACAACGGATGCGGTCAGAGTGAGAAAAGCATACCTATATTAAAAGAGAAGCAGAACACATATGTATTTTAGATAAATTTTAAACCGATAAATACAAAATACGTCGTAGGATTTACTATGTTTAACAGTAACCACTCTATACATTCAAAACTTTTGCAAACTATGCAAGTGCCTGTCAAAACCTGGTGTAGGCGGCTATTATGACCATAAAATGTGCTAAATGTAGAAAATCCTGCATATTTTGTATTTATTATATAAACACTTGTTATGAATCTAATCTCTTGTTGAAAATATCAAGTAATCCATGTTTTGTAACCGTATTCTTTGTTTATCGTGAGTTACAATTAAGTTTTCACTCAGAAAACTATAAAAATCTAATTTTACTACGAGTAAAACATGAATACTTATAACATTGATGTTTATTTTTATTCCATGACATCGCATCACTGTACAAATCATAGTTACTCAATATATCACAAACAAAATCTGCGCCCAGAACGAAACAAGAGTGAAAAGGGTAGTGAATACATTGGTTCTGCATTGTTATTACATTTACACGCTTGACCTTAACTATTATAACTATCTTGCCGAAAATTCTGCATAATCAATTTATTGAACTTCATTTAAAACACCGAGTCAGAGTCGTTCAATCGCTGTCGAATGATTGAACCAGTCTGACGTATTTTATTAAATAATTCATACTAAACGTGCTACATTTACTTCTTCCAGTCGTCCTTCTCGTAGTCCCATTTGGAGGAAAGACCCTCCACGGGGTTCATGTGCAAGTCGAGGATACGACGCAGCTGCGCCTCCTGCGCTTCCTTTTCGAAGCTTGGCGGCAGTGGGTTGTATACTAAAAATAAAGCAAATAATGTTTTAAATTGATAATTATTTGAGTATTTATGATGTCTTACCGAAGAACTTCATGCCCATGTAGAGCCACAAGCCCATAGATGCAAAGAACAATGTCATGCCAATAGTAGACTTCCATTGACCAGTGGGGCCTTGAATTCAGAGAAGGTCTGACGGAACGACGCCCTGTACAGAGCTTTCTTCTCTTCAATGGAAAGTTTTGACCAGTCTCCCTTCTCCTTCTCACGGAGAGCCTGAAAAAAAAGTAAAATTTAATTATTTTCTTCAAAGTTTTGTAGTTAATAATTACCTTAATGTCACTGGTTGGTTCCTTCCACCTCAAAGCAGGCATTGGGAAATCCGCCCGATCGACATAGTTGGGTTGTCCATTGAAACCGAAACCAACTACCTCCCTGCTACCAATGGCAACCTTCTTGGGATCTACAACAGCTCCATGAGCACCAGCAGCGCCGAGTGGAACAGAGCGCGCTTTGATGTTTCTAGCACCCAGAGCCAGAAGTCTGCCAGCCATGGTCTATAAAATCAAAGCAAACAACTAAAAAAACCAACGTACCGCAAAATATTTCAAGTGCATGTATGCAATGACATAAATTTGTATGATTAGGTAATCACTAGTAGCTAATGTTCAGGTTTTGTTTGCCAGCGGGAGTGTTACGTCTTATATACTAAAGTATTAAACATAAAGTTAAGAATTCATTTTTTAGTCCAGTGGAAATGCAATGCAGAACAGTTTGAAAGAATTGTTTAAATTCCTATTCGATCTGTACTTACGATTGCGTGAATATATCAAGATGGCGAAAGACTAGATGCGAGTTTTTAGTGCGGTTAGGTAGGTTGGAACTCGGAATGCACGGAACAGCCCGATCGAGTGAGCGAGCGGTAGTCATAAGTGTGCATTTCATCGACGGCTAACAGATGGCGCTACGTGTATGATTTTAACAAATTTAGCAATTAATTTCTTTGTGAAATTAATCCAGTAATTAGTTAAACACGAAAATTGCCTTAATACCAATTCTCTCAGGTTTCTTTCCGTGTTAAATTCTGCGTGTAACAACATAAACAAATAATAATATGTCGGATTTTTGTAAATTAATACTTTTCACCATTTAAATGTTTATATAACCATTTCATTGTTAAATGGTGCATGAATTAAACACAGTCAAAAGTTGTTTACATTGTTGAGACATTCCGACGCTTATTTCCCTCATTTACTCTTCCACTGCGGCTTTCCCCTCAAATGTTCTTATTGTAGTTGTATAAAAGTTTGCTTATTACTTCCCTCACATACATATTTCGTCGTAAAGCCGAGCGTGCACACACTTAAAGCATTTTATTATTGCATTTTCGCAGATTGGGGAGTTAGCAAGAGAGCATAACTTTTCGTTGACGAACGAACCAACGAGCGCGCCGGCCGTAAACGTCGAGCGCCCTGAACGACACATTAGTTCCATTACGCTACGATTACCGAAGTTACCAGTCACGAGCGCCAACTGGGTTGATGTTGGTTGGCTGGTTCCGGTTAGCATTGTGCATGTCGTTCATGCCGCTCCATCGAACCGTTCGGAATTGATCGAGGCGTCGATAGTGAAAACCTGGAAATGACCGATGCGCCCGTTTCACGTCCAGCCTTGGAAACACCGGCAAACGTTTGCCAATCCGACGCCCTGTTTGCTTATATTAGGGTAATAACCATTCGGACATTTTTCAAACTCACCGGCTACCGTTTTCCCAACACTCCCGACACGAAAAATTGAAAACGAGTGTAAGTGCCGCTTTCAATCAATTCCCGAACACATCACTCGCACGTGATCCCTTAGAGTAGAAAGGGTTGAATAAACAAGAAGCCAGGTCATAAATCTAATATTTTACGAAAACAAAAATCATTTTCGATGATTTTGCTTCAATTTTTTTAAAATCAGCTTTTTTTCCTGTATTGACATACAAGGGAAGGTCGCATGCGGACTTTGCAGTTCCGCAACAAAGTTTAGCAACTTTATCAACTCCTTAATCATACTTAAGGCGAAGATACCAAAGATGTCTTTCAAACTTTGCTTACCAATTAATAATAGGCCAAACTTGAAAAGATGATTAACTTTCGGGTTCGAGGGTTGCCCTCATTTACCTGCGCGAGAAAACTGAGCCTCAAATGTAAATGCCTTCAAATAGGCCCTCCAAAGGCGCGTAACAAACTTTATATGGTATTACAACTAGGGGGAAGAAGAATTTCCTCCGGGTGAGTGTTACACGAAGCAGAAACACTCAATAAAACTTGATTGTGTGCATATTTTGAAATATTGTACTTCAAAATGTTTAATTGCTACTTACATGGATTTTGATTTTAATTCCCAGCCGCCATTTTGTTTCGAAATGGATCAAATGAAAATGCGAGGTTAAGTCAAAAGCGATTTGTTATTTAACACACAAATTAGACTACCTGTACAAATTAGGTATTCATATACATACGTATTATATAACAATATGAATTTTACACTGGACCGAATAGAACCTACTCATATTCTTATTGCAATAATAATTGTAAACGGTTGAGATGTCTCCATGCAGTTTGCTGTAAGATTTGCTTCACGTTTCGCTCCGACTTGGACTTTTTGCTTCTGGTAGTTGTATAGAATCAGGATGCCACAAGTACGTCCGCCATAAGTTATACATAATATAAATTCCTCACAAACGTGGTGCAACAATTGACTTGTGGTGTCTTTTTGTGTGTGTGTGTAGGTGTATGTGTGCACTTCTCGTAGCAATAATTGTGTCGTTGTGTCGCATTGATATCTTTTTTGATTTTTCGTGTTCGTAATAGACAAAGAATAGTTTTTCGTTTGCGCAAGTTTCACTAATAACTATAATGATATGATGAAAGTGGGTAAGGTACATTTGTGCTAAGGATTGCGTTATCCTGATTCCATCGCGTCACGTTGCGTGTTTTTGTTTTTACTTTGTTTTTTTTTTTGGTTTCTATATGTATAGAGTGTGTTCTGATGAACTGCAGTACAAGTTATACAAAAGATATAAACGTAATGTAAGTAGAAAAAACATAATGCGGTGGCGGAGTGGCCACTGCTCGCGGTCTTCGGTATGTGCTTTTCAGAGTGCCCTTTCAAAGAAGTAGACAACCTATCTACAAATATCTCCTAACACAAATCCTTATTAGACACCCGAATTGAACGGGCTATACACACAATATTTATTTAACTCTATTACTTGTTTTAGTTTTGTTTAGTTTTCATTTATACGTAGTGGGCTCCTGCTTCTGCTTTCGTCGCTCCTTTCATTCTCGTATCGATCGATATTCGGTCTTCCATCCTTGAAATTGTTTGCTCCACGCTCAAACTCCAACTGTCGTGATCTTGTCTTACTTTAATGTTACTCCTTAGGTTACTTTTGATAAACTTCGCGTTAGTGTTAATAGCTCCCGAAGTGTAGTCAGCCTTATTTAGTTAAATCGTTTGGTTTTTCTTCATTTCTTTTCTTATTTTCATGCATTTTACACTTAGAGATCGTCCGATGCATGGCTGCTTTGCTGTTTTTTGTCTTTTAATTTAGTGAACCGAAAAGAATGATAATGCATTTTTGTTTTTTTTTGTTAGGTTTTTTGATGTGGTCGGATTAAAAATGCAGCGTTTACAGCTCGCATTCGCCGACATTGCGGCTGGCAGCCGTGTGACCTACGAGTTGCAGGTGATAATCCGTGTTGAGCACCAAATCGGCAACGCAGCCGCGTACGCCGTGGGTGTACCGCCCACCTGTGCTCAGCGTCACGTCAGGGATGCCGCCGACGAAGAGGCCTTCTTGCGTCGCCCGCGGGTGTGGTAAGTCTACACTCTGGCGAGTTAATGTCGGGCCGTTGTCTACTTCTAAAATTCCAGAGCCTCCGTTTCTGTAACAGACAATGCAAACACATTTTAGAATATAAAAAGCACGCAGACATCAGATTAACTTTGTATTTTTTATGTTTTCTCAATAAAAAAAAACATTTAAAATCAATGTGGGAGATTTTGGGTGAATCAACATCTCCTAAAAATATTATGACGTGCTCAGACATTCTGATTGTATTAAACCGCGCGTCGCAAATCGCGATCACTTCAAATTGCGATTGCGGCGCGAGCACTTATCAAGCGATTTTACTCAAGACTTTTGTAAACCCGACGCTCGCATGTGCGCCGGCACTAAAACGGTTTGTCTGATGAAAACTTTATTGCAAACGGCGGCGCGGCGGCAACGGCGCTCGTGATGCACTTTAAAAGCCCTAGCAGATTTCTTCCACCACAACCGCTAGTTTACCACTACTTTATCAGCTAACTTTGACTCTTCGAAAGCGCTTTTTTGCGCCGCCTCACTCAACACCGCAAAGAAGTCGGCAACCGAATATACTGAATGCGTGTACGTGTGGGCTGTGAGTGAAGAGGCAACTTCCTTACACTCGCGGATAACACTTTCATTATAAATCAAGTATGGCACAATACGCTTTCGCAGCAGACAATTGGAATTTGGCACGAACTGATAAAAGCTAACACACGCAGAGCTGGTGCTTGCGCAACCTACATGACTATTGATAATAACCATTGGGCCGAATTAGACGCGGGCTGGTAATTTAGCAAGTTTGCTGAATGCCGGCATAATAAGGGCGGCAACTCGCGGGCCGGATATGTACTCGAACAGCGCCGCTGCCGAAATGCATAATTCCCTCAAGTAATTGCTCATGCTTAACGTTCGCAGAGTAATTCACACCCGGCTAAAACTAACGCCACCGCACTATCGTTACGGACTTTTGCGCTTTGCGCTTAGAGCTTTTACCAACCGCAAAAAATAACGATGCAAGACACGAGAAACACATGCGAACAGTTAATTCAATTAACTTCTTTTGGAAACAACTTTGTTACATTCTAAAAACATAAAAACATTCGTAATTAACCTACAATTCTTAAAATATATATTTTTAATTTTTATAGTTTTAAAATTTCGAGTTATGATGTAGTAAATTAATTGAATCGTAAAAAACTTTTAATGAATATAGAAATGATATTTTAAGGTTAAGAAGTTTTGATATTGAGCTGAACTTCGGTTTCAGTAAAACTTTAGTACCCATGAACTCATTATCGATTTCATCACGTGTATAAAGCACAGAAGACGAAACTTTAATCAAACTTAGAAAAATTCTGCAATATCCGGGAAATATGTAAAGCATGTTTTAGTTTAAATTTCACATGAAAAATACCGATAGTTGGCAATTTTTCCCAGTTTTATCCGCGCTGCAAAACTTTTTAATGAATTGCAAAACAGGTCTCTGGCATTACCGAAATGTAAACAAAACAGTGTTACGCGCGGCGAAAAGTTTTATGCATTCGTTACCATTTCGGTGTGCGTTTTACAGCAGGTACGGCCATTACGTCGAATTGAATTCCACTCTCAAACAGAAAGCGGGATGAAGGATTACAGTGGATTTCTTCCGGTTTCGTTTTTTCATCCTTTTTTAGTTCAAAATGTTCGATCGGCTGTTACTTGTACTTGCTTTGCGTCCTTTCCGGCATATGATGCGACCTCACCTCGCATCGCCTTTTGATTTCGCCAATCGCAAATCGCGATCTGGAAATGTTCTGTACGCAATCTCGTAAAGCGTTATTGCATTGACTCGGCCTTTGTGCGCGCGTAAGCAAAAACCCATTTAATCAGAATTTACTCGATTTACCGACACTTTTATCTGGAGATATTCGCAAAGTGGGAGGTTGGGGGACGAAAGACCGGAGGCTCGCGCCGCCGCCCCAAGCGCACTCTCGAGTGCCATTTGCTTTAAAACGTCGCAGTATGTCGATGGCGGCGGCCGAACGAGCGATAAGGGCAGCTCTTGAGAACTCATCGAAAATGCACGAGGCGTGATTGGGGAATGCGCCGCGGACGAATTAGTGCAGCGGATTAATAAATTACTGCAGTGTAATAATGTTAAAATGCAATATTTAACATGTCTTTAAAGCAAAAAGCAAAAAATAGGTTAAATGTTGAAATTAAAGCGAACAAATGGGATTGTAATAGTACGTTGAATAATTTCACTTGCCTGACTGCACGGACTCGATGCCAGAGATTATCGTGGACGGTAGTAATGTTGTGAACGACCACAATTTCCTCCGCCCGTACGGTATAACGCAGCACCAACGCCCCGTGCTCCAACCCCAACGAGAGAAAATCGCCGGAGCCGGAATCCATCCACAGCAGCAGCCCGTCGGATGTGGACACCTTAAAGCGGACGTTAATGTCCAACGGGTCCGAGACGAGCGTGGCAAGCGTCGAAGCATCGTTAAAATGCAAGTAGCTGTCGACGCCGGTAAACGAAGGCGGGCCGCGGCTACACAGCTGATCCCTATACCCAGGCCGACATTTGCACGTAAAGTAGTCCAACTCAGGAATACATTCGCCATCTTCGCCGCAGGGACGTGCAACACATGGATGTGGGCAGTTGTCAACATTAGCGCCACCTAGCGCCTCCGCCAGAATCGGTATCTGCCTACCGTTGATGGTGACCTTTTGCACGCAACCAACAAAAGCTCTTCGAATTCGCACCTCGGGCGAAACGGCCCCAAAGTTTGGCGCACCACCTAGATAGAGATTCTGCGGCAGTGAGAGTTGTGTGAACGCGCCCGGGGACATCACCTCCGCGGGCAGTTGACTATCGACCTCTAATATCGCCAGTCGACCCGTGCGTGACACTCTTATCTGATGCCATTCCCCAAGGGAGATCTTGTGCTGAGTGCGCGCGATGCCAGCGCCCGTGCCTAGGTCGTAGGCGAACTCGACGAATCCTTCGTTGAGGTAGAGTGCCATGAAGTCACCCATACCGTCAGTGCGATGCCCGTTGTAGAGTAGCAGTCCGTCTTCGGCGTTTGGTTTGAGTGTTACTTCGAGGTCCAGCCAGGTCAGGGCGTCGTCACCCAGCCCGCGGTAACGCAAGTGGCTGGAACCATTGAAGGACGGCACTTGCAGGTCGACGCGGATCTCACAGAGGTCACCGGAAAAGCCCAGCGGGCAGAGACATACCGCTGAGTCTTCGTTGGTCAGGCATTTACCGCCGTGCTGACAGGGCACGCGGCTGCAGCGATCCGCTGTGCATTCCTCTGCAAAATTAACACAATCAGACATTTCGATAACCCTTCCCAAAACGGGTTAATAGAGGGTAAATTATTAGCCAAAATGATCATTTTTGCATTTTAAGCGTTAATTTAATTATTCAAATATTTGCTTCAAAGTTACCATGCGTTGATTTTAGATTTAGCACTCTCAGCACAAATCAACCGTTAAATTTTAGCTTGTAGCCAGTCTCGTATAAACTCTATGCTTGCAAATAACAAAAAATAATGCTAAAAAAGCAGCAACACACTTTTATGTGATAAAAGATAAATGTGAACGTTATTCCCAAGGTGTACGCCGGCGATCGGTTACCATTTCCAGCTGACAATAAATACCGATCCCGAGTTCGCCAATTTTACGATGTGCAGTAGACGCTCAGGTAAATATTTAATTAACTGTACAGAATTGGCGGTGTCGAGAGGAGCCTGCCGCCGACGCGAATGCATTAATTAATCATCCAATCGATGTAAGTGTGCTTATTTCGCGTCGGCGCAGACATTCAATAATCAATGCAAGCCTGGCCGAGAAAAAAATAAAACCGCTGTCGGGGTAGTTTTCACAGCGGCGGCAGCCGGCACACATTTAGTTTTTTCGTTCATCCGATTTCCAAACGTTTGCACGGCAGCAAGCGATCAATCATGATTATGCATGTCGGCTTGTCTGCTTCGTTTTTTCACGATTATAAAATTCGCTTTGAGAACTTATTTGCAGATTTGAATAATTAATTGCTGTATGATAAAATAATATGTTTTTAGAGATAATACGTTGAAAATTACATGAAATATTCAAAATTATTAAAGTATTAAAGAAGTTATCAAAGTTTATTTTGGTTAATAAATAATTATGGAAAATTAACGTCAAATTTTTCATGTAATAATTTAAAATTGCTTCTTGACACTAAAATAACTCTATTTTATTGTATCAAACTCAATTTGACTTTGAAAAAGACTTTAAAGAACAAATGTACCCAGTCGAATCGAAAGCATAAAGAATAAAGCGATTAAATATCGATTGAAAGCATTTTATGACCCGGCTTTGTTCTTGTTCACTCTCCGAAAGTGTATTTACGACTACTCCTCACCTATACCATAACCCTTAGAGGCCTCCCCCTGCGGCTCCAACGCAAACTTGTAGAGATGATCGTTGACCTCCAGATGTCGAATACATCCTTTCAGCCCACCGGCAACGGGCAGTTTCTCCGATAGTCCAGTAGTGTTGCCAGCGCCGCCGATGAACAACGGCTCGCGGAACGTGATGCGCGAGAAGAGGCCTTTGGACCGGCCCTGCACGTGCTTGCCGCCGTTCAATTGCACCCAGGCGTCCCATCTATGGCGATACAGCGTGATGTGGTTCCACTGGTTCAGCAGGACAGTCTCCTCGGAGCGCACGACGCCGACGCCCGACCCACAGTCGAATCTGGAACGCAGCAACAAATTCCAATTACTTAACGCCTCGGCAAGCCGCTCGCATATAAGTGATAGATTTATTTACGCGTCGCATGCTTTTTTCACTCCGGTGATAAATCTTATTCGCTCATGAGAAATAAGCTAAATGTCCGGCGCGTTGTTGTAATAAACAAGATGAATCGTGTATAACTTTTAATTTGAACAAGCAAATATAACATAAGAATAAGAATATATATAACAAAAATTTGATTTTCAAAACTTGCAAAGAACAAAAAACTTACTCTCAATAATTTATGAGTGTAAAAAAATAAACTTTTACGCTCGGTCGCACTTTGCGCTTGCGTAACTTTTGTTTCCTTTTCACGCGAGTTAAAATTTTCGACGTTTGCGAAAGGTATGATTTAACTTTGTACGCTTTGGCGTAACGTATCGCTCGTGAATTTTTCAAAGCGTTCGCCTGCCACCCCCAGGCTTTCGTGCAGTTCACTTTCGAAAGATCATAAAGATATTTATACGCTGCGCGAGGGCGGCTGCGAATGCACGAATTGTGTCGAATGCACGAAAATTGCATAATATAAAACTTATTGAAAAGTTGCAGCGACGAATACGAATGTGTGTAGCGTACAACTCGGATCTGAAGTCGATAATGCATTCGGGGTGAACGTATTTCATCACAGATGGGTGACGCCAAAGTATTCGCGTAATAAAAATCGATGCGTCTACATAAAAACAGTTTACACGTTTCCACCTGCGCGAGTATAACATGACAACATGCATGTTATCCAGGGATTTCCCACTCGCAAGCGTAGAGAGAAACTTACAAGACTTTCCTTTGTTGCCGAATATGGGTACTTCTCCAGTTGAAAGTTCAAAGCATGTTATCCACGATGACAAACAAACACCTTCGCCCTCCCACTCACCCACCACTACTACACTTGTGATGCGTTATTTTTTCCTACGAGTTCACGAGTTCAACGCGTTCTTTGACACGAGCGCACCGCAAGCGCACGTTCGTTAAATTAATTTAAGACTCAAGTGTCCATAAAATTACTCATGCCAGTGCAATTGAAGTCAATGAGGGCGCGCAGGTTGTAAATTCATATTGTGCCATCGGCAACCATTCAGAGCCGGCGCTCACCACCACCAAGGGTGTTCTTTACGCGGCGTGAGGGTTCTTAAATAAGCGGCGAGTCTTTTACGCGCCGGCAGACAATCATATCGATCCGGTGAGAGCGACGCGACGTTACCTAGGGCGGCCAGGTGAGCCAACACACAGACACACAGGACAGAAACTCGTACGTGGATACGCCGCCCCCCAGGTTGCAACTCGATTACAATCCGCTCGGACGTTCACGGCATACACTGCGTGTGTGTTCGTGACGACCCATTCCGGCCGGTTAATTGATGTTAATGTATCTCGACGCATTCAAATTTCATTTTGCTTTTAGCGTTGATTTACGAAGGATGGTCTTATAAATTAATACGTGTGTAATATGTCAAATTGGGGGCAGATTAGAACTAGTTACATAACCTATTTTCGTAGCTATATTAAAATTTTACGTTTTTATTGATTTATAAACGTTATTTAATCCTACAAAAGAATTAGGACATTAAATAACAAGAGTGGATAATAATGAAGTGTATTTCGTTTGAAAATGTGACATAACCTAACTTAATTCCCCATTTTGCATATTTTGTGATATTTTCATGAAAAATATGCTTAGAAACCAGTTTTATTTAATTTTATTTAGTACGTTAATTGTTTTTATCGACTGTGAATACATATAATCATAAATTCATCCAATTTGACTCATTTTCTTCATGCAAAAGTAAAATTTTGAACAAAGTTATTAGTGTCCTATGTTGTGTCAAAGTTTTAATGGTGTTTCATTCGCATTCACGGCCTCATAAGACGACTGCGTGCGAAACGACAAGTAAAACGCTAACATGCTAGATTGGAGTTTAATATCGCATTAAACTGAGCTCGAGACGTTTGAAAGCCTCGCCCACAGTGTACAGTGCAAACACAATGGCCTGTAGTCGGTGTTGTTTTATAATTAACACGGAGGTAATTAAATCTCGACTGCAGGATTTCGTCCTCGGCGGCGTCGGCGTCGTTTTTGTTGTTTTGGGTACATGTCGTTTAGTAGTTGCGACTACGACTAGCAACTACGTCTGTAAATCGACTCGAAGTTACTTTAAGGCGCGACGCAGTCGGGTTGTTCGGGCACAAATGAAATCCGATGGCTGACGGCTTTAATTACAACGACCATCGATAACAGTCGCCATCCCTTATAATTTATATCACGATTCGAAAGGAGTCCGTAAGAAACGGCTGCGGTGCTGATGCTGGAAACTTTCATTAAGCTTTCGGACTTTCGCCTCGACCGTCGGATCGAAGTCCATTTTGTCGTGGATGTACGATTGCACGTTGTTCTCGTGCGTTTACGGTTACTGCTCGCTTAGTTTTTTTTTCTTTTCTTTTTTCGTCGACGACGACGATTGCCAATGTTACCAATGTAACCAATGAAACTAAAACCATTGAAACGTCAACCGCAAACCTGACGATATGTGTGCGGCGGTGAAAATATATTAATTTCGAAAGTTTCATCTCCTCGCGACAATTGAGAGGGTTGTTAATTTGCGAACGTGAGATTGCACTGTTTCGAGTTTTACGAGCGCGCAGAGAAAATTTAATGAATTTCAGCCTTGTCGGCTTATTGAGGGCTTATTTTAGTTGCGAAGATGTTTGAAAGCATCGTGTCCGCAGGACGCAGACTCATCCTTAAAAGGATTCTGTCACGGACTTGCACTGTATAATAGACTTACGACGTGAAAGGTCTCTGCGATTGCAAGTGATGCTAATCTGGCAATTTATAATTAATTAAAAGATTACATCACTCTACGGTAATTAATTTTTTGTCACAAAATATTTTGAGAGATGAAAGATTGAGACATTGTGACGTTGAGACATTGAAAAATGCACGCTTTATAAAACTACTTGCTTTATCACAATATTGATCACTGGCTGGAGACGCGTCGTCCATTTTCGGAGGAAATAGCGATCCCAGGTTACTGCACGGCACAAAGTCGTTATTAGAATGTGCGAGTAAGTCGTAAAAAGTTGGCGTGCAAAGTGCGCTCACCACCACTTTATATCTATTGTCTAGTTATAAAAAAAACGTCGAAGTTTCGCTGTAAAATAAATATTTATTTATGCACAAAGTGAAAAGTCCTAATAATGCAAATGATTTCGAAATTATTTGCCATATGTTCATAATACATGATTATGAAATAATTTGTGCTTGCATTCGGTCGTGACAAGCTTTTAATTGCCATCGATAATTCCCACGCTCCCACGACAGCAGTTATTTCATAAATTGGCGTTAAAACTCGCAACAACTAATGTGCGCGCAGCGTCATTCATTAACCCTCCACATAATTAATTCAATGAAATATCTACAATAATTGTGTTGCGCCATTATTTGCGGGAGGCAAACGGGTTGCGAGGGAACAATTGCGCGTCCCGCCGCTCGTTTTGCAACACACTACTCGCTTGCGCACAATTTCGTCTAGCTTCATCGCCGTGCACTATTTGCGTGTTTGCGCTGCGCGTTTATAAGCCCACGAATGGCGCATGGCGGCATAGATTATTCATTAAAATCGAAATAATGGTCGCCCGTAAAGCGGTCGGCATTACGCTGCGTGTATATGACGTGTATATTTATTGTAGCAGCAGTGGCTGTACTAAAGTAAGCTTTGGGTGTTTATGTTTAAGCTTCGCTTTTACCGTCCGGAGCTTGTCACTGCCAAAGATGCGTGTTCAAAAGCCGATTATGCTGAATCACAAGATATTCGTATAAATGTCTTTAAATTCAACACAAGAAACTCGAAATTTATTTGATACTCTTTTTTAATACATCTAGAAAGTTTAATTTGCAATTTAATTAACTTTGTTTAATTTACCATGCTTGCGATGTCAATTTATTAGACATCAAATACATTTTCTTGGATTAATTCAAGTTAATTACGTCTTGATGGAATACGCAAAGTGAAGGTCAGACGTGAAATTGAATTTAATCAACATTAATGGCCATCTCGTCGTTAATATTAATTCATCAAACGTAATTCAAAAATAGAATCCATCCCGAATATAATTTTCATGTGTCTTGTGTGTTTTGTGTCACGTTTGAAAAATTTCGGAATTTATAGTTGCTTGTTTTCGTAGGTAAGACGTTGGCGCCGAATATTACGACGTGAAAATACGCCGCGAAACGTATTATTGTATTTTTCCATGGGTGCGCACGTTCCGCCCCGTTATCCTGCGGGAATGTCGCACTCCATTTTGCAACTTTTTGTCCCCGAGCGCGCGTGCAAAGTGTCGCGGCTGTAAACGGACGAAAAATTGCCGCGCGTATACATTATTTTTTTATGCAAAAATGTGAACATCGGTGGCGTGTTGTTATTGCGCCGCATTGTCGGACGATAATGCGTCGGCCATTACAATATGCCGGAGCGGCATAATTGGACTGAGCGAGCGATTGCATCTCAATGGAAGTTCAACGCAGCATGAAGTGCATATTGCATGTCGATGGGCTTTAATCCAACCGGGTCACAATGTTAATTTTCCAAGTTAATTTTGTTACAAATTCCAAACAGCACCATACACGTTCAGATAAAATAATCATTTAATACATTATGCATTATGTAACAAATTAAAAGTTTATTTTATCTTTTGAAGAGTAAATTTCTAAAGCACAACATCTGCAATTACTAAAAACGAATAGCAGACAGCTATTGATGTTACAATTACTGTGGAGTTTGTCATTCAGAAAGTTATGTTTCTGACAGGATTAAAAGCCCTTCGTTTGCCTTGATCTTCGCGCCCAAAAGGGGAAAACGGCCGAAAGCAAACATAACATCATAAGAAAGAAACGTCCCCGACCGTTTTCCCTTTGGATAATCAATAACTGCGCCATTATAAGACCTGACGAATAATAATCGTCTCTTCTTTATCCTTTTAGTCGTTTTAATGAAAGAATATTTTCTATTGTAGCCAAATTTAACTTCAGACTATTTTTTATAAGTGAATTTAACACTTTAATTGACTGAAAGTTGAAATAAATATATTTTTCACAAATAAAATCAAAAAAATTGATTTTCAAGTGACGCGCAAAAAAATGACGTGTAAATCATAACCGTGTCTGACACCCCGGCAAATATGCAAATAAACGTCGCGTTTGCAGATGGATATCCAAGCGAGAGAGCAGCAGAAATTACGAAATTGATTGATTGAAATTGACGTGCGCGACAGTTGCGCCCTGTGGAGAGAGCGAACGTAATTTCGTTACCTGAATTCGACGAAGCCTTGATGTAACAGCAGCGCCATGAAATCCCCGGCCATGTCGTCACGCTCCCCAGTTAAGAAGAAGATGCCGTCGTAGGCTTCCGGTCGCAATTCCAGCGTCACTTGCACGTGCTTGTAGGCGCCGCGCAGCGCCGGGAAAGCCAGCCAGCTGGAACCGGTGAATCGCGGCGAGCGAATTTCCACCTCTGGAACAAGCAAACAAGCCAAACATCAAAACGTGCACGCGTGTGCGTGGCGACACAGAAAATGGCGAACGGTAGGAGAAGCAGACGTGAGGTTTTTGTATCTTAATTTTTAATTAGACGTTACCAAGGGGAGGATGGAATTCAACCTCAGTGAGCACGAAGAATGGACGTGACAAATAATTCTACGAGCATTTTTACTTTGCTTGCATTCGCGGAAAATTACGACAAAATTATAATTAATTAAATTTTCGCTATTTTATTGAAAAATAACTGTATTTTGTAAAGAATTTTAAACAAATAACTATTATACACAGATTTTAATTTAAATTCTTGCTAAAAACAGCATAAAACAACGCAGACAATAAAAAATTTATTTAAATTCAACATCAATAAGTTTTTTTCTATTGTTTAGCATAATTTGTTGCACAAAAAGTCTCTTAACGCGTTATTTTAAATGCAAATCAAGCCGAAACACCGAATCGATACTACAGTTGCCAAGAATATGCTTAATAGATTCTACGAGTAAGCTTTGCGTTTCCACTCTCTTGCACATACCCAGCGACTTCGACAAACGGCAATAGTAGCTTACAAACATCTCCGGAGCGTTTGCGTTTAGCGAAATGCAAATTGAGTATGTAATTGCACGTCACTGATTCGGAAAATACACACTTCGATGTCGAGAGGAGCCCTGTCGACGCTGGGACTAGCTGTATCATCCCACCCATTGTGTACATCACATGCCACATTTCCTGTTTAATATGTGCTCACGGCGATGCGCATGGATTTCCGCGTGTTTGTCGTTCGTGCGGTTTGCATCGCTGCCAGCCGGACGAAAAACCGCGGCGCATGCATGACCGGATTACTGTCGCAAACGTGCGCGCATCACAGGATGAAGATTCCCAAGAGTGTCGGCGTGTGTGCGCGAATGGAGTAGGTATGTCATGTGTATGTTATTTCCGGCATAGCAGTCGCGGGAAATTCTTCGCAATGCCCGATATCACGTTCGTTCGTATGAAATCTGATATTTCTTTAGGTGGAATTTTCACATTTTATTCCGGCGAGTGGGCGATGTATGTTTAGTACTTGTACTTTGATCGAAAATTTCCCGAACGTATTTGCTTTGTTTTCCACTCAGATAATTTAACTTTCTGTTGTATATTTTGGTTATAATTATGTACCTACATCTCGAGCGTGAAAATAACTTGCTATTTATAGCTCTTTTGGAGTAAATTTTCTATATTTTACATATTTGTAAAAATTTGTGCGCATAAAGTCGGAGTCAATTTACATATAAATTTGCTTCGCGATAAAAGCACATCGTAAAAGATTCGCGTCAAAGTCGAAAAGCATCGTTCATTTTCACACAGTGCGCAAATTTTATACTTGAAAATTTCGCTTCGCCTGTTTCGTACGTGTTTTAATTACTGTAGGCGTCGCAGACATGAATATCGCCAACTGTAAAAACATTCGAGAGTGTGTCGTACACACCGTTTAGATAACGCCGTGAGAGTACCTTGTTAAAATGCAAAACAGCGCCACACGCGTGGAAATGACGCTAACTCTAACGAGCCCGCTCGGAAAGACCGGAAACGGTGCCGGAGGCAATAGTCAATAAGCAAATCCGTTGAATAATCAAGTCGATGTTTTGTTTGATTTTCCCGACCTAGTTTCTTCCGATTCACCGCTTTTCAACGCGTTTTACTTTGGTTACCATCGAGAAGTAGTGGTAGTCTTCTTGGGATTTTAAATTCTCATTTAGTTTTTCCGGGCGCTAAGCCAAACACTAATCGAAATGCAATGGCGAGAGTGTCTTGGGTTCGTAATGATTAATTCTTGTATTATGTCGACTGTTGTGCTTTCTTTGTTCTGGCAACGGGATAGTAATTTCTACTGATGATCAAAATGAAGATTACGAACAACTCAGAACTTTACTAATGATTTCTCCGATTTTCGTTAGGAGAATGTTTAATAACAACATAAATACTACATTTTAACTTTAACCAGGGAACAAACAACATAACCTTCTTTATAGTCTAACAAATTAACTTTTTAAATCAGTATTTTATTGCCATCTAAAATACTTAACCTATATTCAGCACTCTGAATGATTAAAGCAATACTTAAAGTTATAGACCACAAATGGGATATAAAGGTCAAAGTTCATTAATTCGTTGTGTTTGTACACCGTGAGAGTTAACAATCGCGAAGTCTGATTCAAACATCGACCTTTCACCCCCTCCCCTTCCCTCGTGCCGCGGTTTTTGTGTGCGTGCGGTGAACACAAAGTGACATTTCAAGAAACCTCACCAACCAACCCTCTACTAACGCATAATAAGCTTCACTACCACATTTCCTCAAAACGTATAAAACTAGGCAACACAACACACACATATATACCAACTTTACTGGCTACTCTAGCGGCCAGTAACAAAACTATCGATTTTCGTGCATAATTCATGATTTGTGCGGCGACCTAAATGAATAATTTAGTGATCGAATGCTTGCCGAGCAAACGCCATTAACCTCCGTTCCAAGCCGCCCTCAGCCTTTCTATTTGTTGGCTGCTGCTGGGAAATATGTGGAAATGACATACGTGCACGCCGGTAGTGCTATCGGACGTTATCATACGCATTCGTTCACATCAGTTTCAACTACGATCGAATTGCTTCGCCGTCTGGTATTAACAGCAAAACAGGCTGAACAACAACTAACCACTACATGGACACGAGACATCGGCTCAATTTAGATACCGAGAGGGTGAATGGGAATGTGGAAATGTTTGCGAGTAAAATATAAGTTTTGTTACTGTGCGCGTTTTGTAACATATTTAACTGACAGTCGAGCGGAGGAATTTATATTAGTTTGTTGGAATTACTATTTGATGAGATAAATAATAAACAAGCACTGAACATGAAATACTGAAAATAAAAAGTGCTATAATGTTGTTAATTAATATAATTATTCACTAGGATTATAAAAATGACTTTAAACACGTTATTTCTTTGTAGAAAATATTTTGAATCTAAAAATAAATTTTTCCACAAAGAATTCTGACGTGAATTGATAACATTTTACAATTGAATAAAATAAATTCGAATCCGGGTATCGGCATTGTGATTTGTATACTTATACACGTACTGATTGAACAATTTTCCTTCAGCGTCCGAAAACATTGATGAAACGTGTCCTACATAAAATATACACCGGGTACCCGCCGCTGAGAGATTAAACAATCACAAAAAACGTCGACGGAGAATTCGACAGTGAATAAATCCACAAAACATCTATACTTCCCACCGAACAACTTACAATAGTAAGTTTTTCCTGCATTCAATGCGTTCATTGTGATACAAATATACAAACACATTGTATGCGTTGAAGACGGTCGAAATCGAATCGAATCGAATCGGAGCGCGCGTGTATGTATGTATTATCGACATTCACAGTCAACTTATTACGGCAAGTATCCCGACTACGTGCGTGGCATTTTAATCGGTTCATTTCGTGCCGACGCTGAGGCTATATATTTTATTGTGCCAATCTATGCCGCCCGCTCAATGGACGGCGGACAACAACGGGGACGCAACCCGAAACTCGACGGGAAAGAACGTGGAAAACGATCCGGGTCCGATGTCGATAGTGTTACAAGATGTGTTCGTAGGGCGCGGCTAGGAAAAAAAACCGCAACGCACATTTAGTGCTTGGCGTTGGTGTGTATTGAGAGAGGAATTGTATCGGTAACGGTGCGCAAATATTTATCAATCATTAAAGTACGTGGCGACACGGCACGGAAGCAGGCGGTCGTAAAATGCTCGCATAGTCGACGAAAAAAAACCTCCCTCGCGAGAATGAAAGCGAAAACGTTCCTTTTAATGCTTTTTTTGCTTGAGATTCTCGCACTGAGAAGGAGAGCAAACAAAGCGGAGGGCAATTTTTATTATATGCTTTATATTCTTTTTAACACGCGGTTCTAAGAGGTGATAAGGCACGGTCCGACACCTTTTCAAATATATAAACGCACAGATTAAAAATTTAAATAAAAGAAACCGTTGTATTATTATTTAATTAAATACAAAATAAAAAAATATTTTATTTTGATTTTTATGATTTTTCTGCTTAAAAAGTATCAAAAAATGAATGATAATTGAGTCGGTGCACTTTGTCGATATATAGTTATCCATTAAGAAACATTGGGGAGCAATGGCAGATATGGCCGATTCCAGACATGTGCTTCCTGGCCCTTGCCCTGCGAATTTATATCTCCAGCAATAAAGTGAAAATTATATATCGTGGGTAACATAATCTCACTCGAGGATATCGCATTCGGTCGCTCGCCTGCGAACGTTTCCAATAAAGTGCCATAACGCCGCGCTGTTTTCCGAATAGATGTGTTACTCGGAAAGAGTGTGTTACAATGCTTCGTAATGTCCCACACGTGCTGAGCACTATATATTTAACGATTTTTTAACCAATAAACTCACAGGATTATATTTACTTACAACTAAGTTGTACTATACTGTATTATATTGTAGGTTATGTAGCGCCATTTTGAAAAATATGAGCACCATCTTGAAAAGTATGTCAAGTTGTTTTTTTTTTCCTCTCCATGCTTGTAGCAATCACATAAACTTCTATTAGTTTTACTGGTGGGAGAAATTTGTTCGTACTCATGAAAACACGTTTTTCATTTAAACTGCTACCGCCTGGGACAGTTCAGGAGATGCTCAGCGTATGAAAAAGTTTCGTCCGGCGCGCACAATGTTACTTTCACTCTCCTGATGTCATAATGTACCATTACTTCCGCCAGCATGTGCGCGAAGTGGCTGCATTATGAATCAAGAACTGGCGTGGCGCGCAAGGAGCACAAAGCGATAATTTAAGAAGGGTTTTCATAGCAGCGCGTTACAATTATGCGCGTCGCGGACTTGGGTGGCGCAAACCTTTCCGGCTGGGATGCGGGAAAAACTTCCAGGCATGCCGTCGGCGTCGTATCGAGTTTG